TGTGCGTGTGTGTGTGCGCGCGTGCGTGCGTGCGCTAGTACGCCCGCGCGTGTGTGTGTGCGTGTGTGTGTGCGCGCGTGCGTGCGTGCGCTAGTACGCCCGCGCGAGTGTGTGTGTATTCCAGGCTGCGAGGCTTCGTGTACCGCACGAGTGGGTGCGCGCTCGGTCTATCGACCCTGCATGGGAACATATATATAGACACGGGTGCGTAGTCGACACTGGTTTCACGACCAGCGGCGCGCAGTACCTATGCTTACCTGCCTCGTAGTTACGCATCGTTGCTAGGTGTGTTGACGTAACGTATTGTAGGGCTGCGTGTGGAGTCGTTTGTCGCTCGGTCGTCTGTCGCGTAGTCACGCTGATGGGCGGCGCCACGATCGATTTATTTAATGAATTATTTAAGCCCGTGCGAGTTTTTCATATGTGCATTATTATTTGCTTTTTGGCCGTAAAAACCAACGCGTCGCAATTAGCAAAGGCAACATGCTGGCGTGCCGTGAAACATAATGCGATGTGGCACGCTGAGCAAACAGACCTAGCTATATTTACACACGAGTCATAGAATCTGTATTTACGCGCGTGTTTATATCATAAACTAACCTCGACGAAATTATTACACTCACACGCACACGCACGCACACACACATACACGCACACGCGCGTACACACGCACACGCACACGCACCCGCACACGCACCCGCACACGCGAGTACACACACACACGCACACGCACCCGCACACGCACACACGCACGCATACGCACACACGCACACGCACGCACGCATATATATATATATATATAGCGTCGATTAATTCACAGAGATAAGCAACACTGATGTGCTTAATCGTTACGTAAGACTGGCTGCAGGAAGAATTGCCCGCTCACACTACGTCTGTAGAGAAACATTTTTTATGAGTAGATGTAGCGACAGCGCGTGGACTTGACCCTGTGGTCGGTGGATCATTCACGCGTGTACGTGTGAATATATATATTAGACGCATTCGTTTATGCAAGAGTGCAGCCTCTAGTGTAATGCCCCGTGAGAAATTTGGCACGAACCCGCTGAGAGAGACATCATAATGGTCTGAAATTTCATAACCTTCATGACATTTTAGACTTATGATTGAAGCCATGACCACTTATGTTGTTTAGTTTACAACGACTCTGTCGTTCTTAGGTACACACGTAGTAGGAGACTTAGCATTAAAGGTGTTCGGTATTTCACTAATGTATCATTATTATTATTTTTATTTTATTTTTGTAATTTATTATTAATATTATGATTATTCTTGTTGTGGTTGTTGTTGTTGTTGTTGTTGTTGCTGCTGCTGGATAATTATCAACATGTAACACCACTAAAGATGTTTTGGTTCGTGTTGTACATCGTCGGTATTGTTATTCGTAGAATACGATTCATATCACACGTATCTGTTGTTTAGAGATTTTTATATTTTATTTGTTTATATCACACAGCTATCACCCGCGCGCATTATTATAGCGATAAAAAGCAGGATTGCAAAGAGTTTTATCTTTTACATGTGGAAGATAGAGCTGAAGCAAAGTCAGCGTGAATAACTACTAAGAATACACATCC